CTGTATTGGTCTACAGTTATTATTCATATAATTTCGAACATTATTATATAATTCATCGAGTTTTTCGTCTATAAAATTGTCATTCTTGTTGTTTGATGAAGTTAAATAATGTACTGTGATAACGAATGCATCAATGTTATTTTGAAGTTCCATTTCAGTGTAATTTGAGAAAGTAGAAAATGCAGCCGGCCAATCTTCAATGAAATTTGTGAAAGAATCAAATTCCATTATTAGTTGTTTTTTACATTTTTGTTTTTCTGCTATATGTTTTTTACATTCTATCCATAATACTCTTAAAAAATCTGTATATTCTTTTAATTTCTTAGAGAGATTACAGCTCAAGAACAAATAAAACTGTCTGGCTTTATCGTCATTATTTTCAGGTGTAACAAAATCTTTTGTTTCAATTCCATCAAACAATTGGTCCATGGTAATTTCTCCATTATTTCCGTCATAAATATGCAAACTGTCTCTTAATTCTTTCAAAGGTGAGTATTTTAGAAATTTTTCTAAATTAAAATTAATTTTATAATTAAAAATTACCATTGAGGCATACTTTTTTGAATGCAGGAAGTCAAATTTCAACAACATAGATAAAGTTATTAATTTTGTTTGATCAAGATGAGGTTTGACTTTCAAAAATATTTTGCTGATGGGTCTATTTTCAATTTGCTTGTAGAACTGTTCGATTATCATCGAAGGAGTTGGCTGTATTAGTCTACAGTTATTGTTCATAAAATCTCGAACATTATTATCTAACTCATCCAGTTTTTCATCTAAAACTTTGTCACTATGTTTATATGATGAAGCTAAATAATACACTATGTCTACATAAGAATTAATGTTATTTTTAAGTTCCATTTCAGTGTAATTGGAAAAAGAAGAAAATGCAGCCGGCCAATCTACAATGAAATTTGTGAAAGCAATAAATTCTCTTATTATATAATGCTTATAACCTTTTTTTGTGTCAGGATATTTTTTACATTCTGTCCATAAAATTTTTACATAGTCTGTATATTTTCTTAGTGTCTTAGAAAGATTGCAACTTAAAAACAAATAAAACTGTCTCGCTTTATCGTTCACATTTTCAGATGTAACAAAATCACTTCTATTAATTCCATTAAGTAATTGGTCCAAGGTGATTTCTCCATGACTTCCATCAATAATATGTAAATTTTTTCTTAATTGTAGCCAATTAGGGTTTTTTAAAAATACGTTTAACTTAGAAACTTTATCTATGGAGTTTACAAATTCAAAATTGAGAGTAATGCAAATCAAACTAAATGAAAATAAATAAGTATTATACATTTTCAAATATTAAATTTTATCGATGTGAAATACAAGTTGTGTTAATCATATTTTCAGTTAAGATTGCTTTAATATAGACTAAATATGTTTTAATATAAAAAAATGTTGTCAGAAATTATTTTTAAATTATAATTTTCAGTTAAGTAAATTTAAAATGTGATGATTTATTACTTATAACTTAAACTAATAGCTTTAATTTTTTAAGAATAATTTCATTAAATTAGTATGGTTACTATACAAGGTGCAATTTATATAATATAGATTCTATTAAAAACTTCAGCCTAGAGATGTGTATAATATTATTGGCGAGCTTATATTAGTTTCACCTGTATGTATGTTTGTAACTCTCCACGCTCACGTGTTATTATTCTTGCGTATCCCGTCGTCTATGGCCTTGAGACTAGACTGTCGCACGCATTCACTCAACTCCGTCCACCACACCTCGCTCACTACTCGCCGACAAACACTATTCCTGTATAATTTTATTTTTAGTTTTCGTACTCCTACATGTATGCGTATTATCAATATTATATATATTAAAACAAATTTGTATTGTTTATTATAAGATATAAACATTTAAAGATTCAGTTTTTTTTTGAGTTAGTATACATGTATAATATATAAGGGAATACTAATACAGGTAGCTAATTGTTTTTTTATGACGATATTCGGAGATTATATAGCCTTTATTATCAATGGTCATAAGACACATTGTTGTGAGTTTATAAACACACTAACTGGCAATAAAGAAATTATATCTATTGATAATGATAATTGAAAATAAATACTCCGTGACTGTAACAGCGCTGTCATAAAAAAACTAAAAAGTGAAAAATAAATATAGTTTAAAAAACTGAATAACACGCTTTTAAAGCATATCGAACTAAAAAGTTAAAAATAATTTTTAAAATAAGCTTAAACAATAATGAACGAACTTGGAGATACCAAATACTAAGGGAATTAAGCAAAGTGCTAGTAAAAGGTAACATGTACAATATCATTGTAGATTTTTTGAACAACAGAACCTTTCAAGTAAAAAATAATAACGCAACATCAGATGTATATGAACTTCAAAATGGGGTACTCCAAGGATCAGTCTTTTCTGTCACTCTCTTTCCAATAGCAATAAACTCCATTTCCAAAAAAATTAAACCTCCAGTCAAGTATATACTATTTGCAGACGATTTCAACTTCATGTGGGACAGTTCCAATCAAAACACA